TGCAAAGCGTGCACCAGCTCAGCAGCGTCTTCGGTACCCGGCTGCCTGCACAGCCATTCAAGGCTGATGGGGAAAGCGGGGTGGGGATGTTCCTGCGGGTTGTCAAACACTTCAGGATCTGTCTCAGAAAGCGGAACCCGTCTTTGTGCAGGTCTCCTGTGGCTTTCTACTGCTGTGCATCCCACTGAGCACAGTAGTAGGTAGCGGAGTCTCGCAGAGTTACTTTGCTCACTGTCAGGGTGCAGACAGATTTGGTGAGATCCTTCTCGATGCTAAATTTCCCCTCATCAGACTGGTTTTCAAGGAAGAGCCTGGAGGACATGTAGGCAATGCGCTTGGGAGCAGCATTGGGCCTCTTCTGGTACCAGTGAATGAAAACTTTGTTAAAATCCGGATGAGAGATGTGGCAGTTGATTAGCACCGTTTTGCTTTCTGGCTTAGTGATGGATATGGGGGTTTGCTGCAAAACTCGTGCAGAGCTGCCTGTGTGAAAGCAAGAGAAAAATTAGAAACACGAAGCTGAGATGAGAGACCGTCCCCTTTGCCACTGGCGGACGTGCAGGCAGCGGGGTGAGCAGGGCACGTACAAGGGAAACCAGCTGCCAGGATGAAAGTGCTCAGCAGCCACATTGTCACTGCTCTCCTTATGGCTTCCTTATGGAGACTGGGTCAGGGCCAGACTCCAGTGCGGCAGAGCAGATCTAAGTGGCAGAAAAGCACCCAATGAGGCTGTGTCAGCTGCGGATGTGTTCAATAATGATGCACAAGCCATTTCCTTTGACTAACAAGGCAAACAAAATAAAACAAAACCCAAAACCCACCCTTGTATGAAGAGAGCTCAATGATGAGGGAAACATTTTTTTTTCTTTTTTTCATCAGGGAATTTGCTTAGATGACGAGTCAGGAGTCCCGTCATCTGTCTGTCCTGTCGTCCATCCCCCGTCCCCCCCGGCAGCTCCCAAGATATGATTTCTGGGTGCTAGCTTTTAAGGTCAGTTCTTCGTATCTGGATTTTCAAGGTACATCAGCTATCAGAGGATGGACAAGAAGAGATGCCCCTTGAAAGCAGGCAAAATTGATGCCCTACATCACTGAGATCAGGAGGCATTTCTGGGAAATTGCTGCTCTCGGTTTGTAAGTACAGTCTCCTCTAGGCATCTGCTCTGGCCCACTGCTGGAGGCAGAGCACTCGCTGCAGGCAGCAAGGAGGGACGAAGGGTTAAACTTTGACTCACCCTCACACTGGTGGTGCAAGTCCCTTCTGCCCTTCATTCCAGCTGTGTCATCTAAAGCCACCAAGCAGCACTTGTATGTTAGTTTTCTCCACTCGTCACCCTGATGAGTTTCTGAAGGTGAGCCCAGGCTGGCCAGAAGCACCCGCAGCAGCAGCAGCTTGAGCGTTTTGGGGGCCACAAGAGATCTCCTCTGTCCCCTTATGAAAGTGGCTGCAAGTGATGCTACCCTGCACATGGATACCACCACCCACAGCAGCTCCCAAAATTAAGCCTCGTGTGAGCAGCTACAGCTTTTCTTCAAGGAAGCGGCCTCGTGACCAGCAACAGAGAGTGTACCACAGTCATAGGCAACTTACTTCAGTAGTTCATTGCCCCACTCTTACAGATTTGTGTCTTCTTTGTAGCCTGAGTTCCCCTTGCTTCATTTCTGCCTGGATATATCTCTACTTGTAGTAGGGAGAGCCCTGTTCTCTGAGATTTATGCCCCACATAGGGTGCTAGACAGAGATCAGCTTCTTTTCTTAACTCTCTTATGGACTGAGGTGTTGGAGATTCCAAGTGTCAGATGATTTTTCATCCCATGAAAATACCTCCAAAGGTCTCCTTTTCACAATTTGCCCCATGCATTTTGAACCTTGAACATCAAGTGGCATCCCGTGACATCGCTTCTACCCGAAATCGCTGTGCCAAAATCACAGTTATGCTTGTCCAGCAAAAGTCTTCCATTATCTGGGAATCAGCTGCTGATTCCCACATTCTCAGGAAAGTGGGATTTTTCTCTGCCTGTCAGGGGCAGCTGTCGTCTTACTCAGCCATTTCCCATGGTCTTGGTACCTTACAGTTTTTAGCAGGTTAGAATCTATGTTTAGCTCTCTAGCTTAAATGGCAATGCTTTATATTATAAACTTACATGACACCTGCAGGGCATCAGCAGGTTTTTTTGTGTTCCTCCTCTGTTCTTAAACCTGCAAGAGATCCATTGTAAGAACACCTTTTCTGTGCGTCTCCTGGGGTTTACTATCTGATTTTCTAATCCAAATAGTGTACACTTCCCAAGCCAAATGCTGCACGTGGGCCTAAGTATTTTTATATCAGCTGGCATTAATCAAACCAGCCAGAATATAATTTAAAGAAAAGTTCAGTCTTGAGATCTGAACACCTGCTAAAGAACAGCCCTCTCCCCCAGCTATCTCCCATCTCCACTGCTTCCTCCTCCAGAGTCGCTGAAAAATACACTATATAATGACAGTTTACTGATACTTATGCTATAGGCGTTCTTTTTTTGAGAAGTAGAAATCATTTGCTTACGCAAGATACAATTTTCCCAGCACTGTGAAGTAATTCACAGACTTCCCATTTCTGTCCCCAGCCTGACTGGAGTTTCTCATCCAAAGTCAAAGGGAGCCTTTCCACTCCCACAGATCAGTGGGATTTCAAGTAACACACTCCAATAACTGGAGACAACTTACACACAGAGATACTTGTTGCAGCCTGGCCTAACTCCTATCCACTTTTTATATGTAAAAGAGTTTCTGCTAGGAGAAGCAACAAATCAACCATATTTCACTTAAAAAGATCTTGACTCTTTCTTCCTGCAAACCCAAAAATGTATTTGGCATTTCTCTCTGAGGTCATATAAAATCATACTGGCATCGGGGGCTTGGTATAGAGCCATACAGCTCATAGTGTGAAATGACACCGCTCACCGATCAGGTACAAGTTTGTCCACAGGAAAGTCTGACTTTGGGTGGCGTAATGCAGCCCAATGCTGAGAACCTTCCCATGGATTTGATGAGCCCATCTGAGCCCTTTCTGAGACATCAGTGGTCAGGGCTCTGTCACAGGTGGAACTGAATTCAGTGTTGGTGGTTGTTCTGATTTCAGTGAGGAAATTTTAAGTTAACACTGTAAGAGTGCTTTCTGCATTGATCCATCTGATGGATATATGACAGCAAGTAGGAAGAGAATGTAAAGCCATTCAAATGCTCAGTAATCAATTATAGTGATTAATAAGTGCATTGGGTTTGCGTGACAAGGTTTTGGTAGTGGGCCTGTGGGGGATGGCTTCTGTGAGAAGCTGCTAGAAGTTTCCCCTATGTCCTATACAGTCAATGCCAGCTGGCTCGAAGATGGACCTGCTGCTGGCCTAGGCCGAGCTCAGCAGCGGTGGTTGTAGTGCCTCTGTGATAACATAATTAAGAAGGAAAAAACAAAGATCTGTGCAACACCAGCAGCGGTCAGAAGAGAAGAGTGAGAATGTGGGAGAAACAACGCTGCAGACACCAAGGTCAGCGAAGAAGGAGGGGGAGGAGGTGCTCCAGGCGCTGGAGCAGAACTTCCCCTGCAGAAATTAAATCAATTTCCCTGAGTTGAAGCTGTTTTGCCCGTGATGGTAATTGCTGAGTGATCTCCCTGTCTCTCTCGACCCATGAGTCTTCAATTATATTTTGTATGCCCTGTTCAGTTGAGAAGGGGAGTGATAGAGTGGCTTTGGTGGGCACGTGGCATCCACATCAATCCACCAGGGTCAATCCACAACAATAGGAATTTAGGTTACTTAAGACCTTGTAACAGTCTTTTTGCAGATGCTTCTGTCTTGACAAAATATTCACCCTCAGGGCCGGCTACTTCCTTTGCCCAAAACTTACAACTTGTTGAGGAGACATGAAAAATCAGGGCACCAAGGCTGAGCAGATGAGGAGGGGTGCCATGCGAAGAAGGAACTGGATGAGAGCATTCTTCAAATTTTAGGAGAATTTACGCCTAGCTGGAACACCACGGACAACTCAAATAAGAAAAGAGTCCACTCCAGACCTCAGTCACCCCATCCCATTGCTCCCTCAAGTGTTGGACACACCTGAATGCAGGTTCTCTTTTTTCTTGTTGCTTTGACTGTGGCTTTGCTTCCTTTCTTCCCTTCTCTCCTGCCTTTCAGTATCTGTATCTGCTATCATTCAGGTCAATACTCAACATACTACTGCCTTCAGCAGAGTCAAGCCAGCCCATTCTGGAGAGCTTAAAGCACCCAAGGTGCAGGCAAAGACGGTCATTTCCACTCCAGCAGGAGCTGAGCTGAGCGGCGGAGAGCACTGTGGCTGTCTCCTGGCTTATTGCAAATCCTACCGAGGTAAGGGGCTCTTCCTCTCCTTTCTCCTGGGCTTTGGCTGAACGTTCCACCTTCCAAACTGCTGAGCACTCACACTGCCTTCAAGTCAAGAGAGAGTTGCAAGAAGGGGCTCGAGCTTCCGCCAGCAGTGAAAATCCTGTTACTTGGCACCCATAACTGTTAGGTCTTTAAACAGCATTTTGTTGGTCTCCTGTCTCTGTGGCAAAATCATCAGAATTGAAAGCCTGTTGTGGCTGGAAGTTATGACTGTAGCTTTCTGAGGGTGATAACAAAAAATAATACTGTGAATTTATTGTGTGAAACTATAAAAAGCTGCAACTTCAAGAGCAGTGCTGCACTGGCCCAGGACTTGCACATCGCTCATCCTGGAGATGTACATGCTGGAAGGTGTAGACAAACACTGGGTAAACCTGGGAAACAGAATTCCTTGCAATTTGGTGTCTGAAAAATATCCACCCTCTGACTCAAATAATGACGGTTTTTCCTTAAATCTTTGCTTCATAAAACAAATATGCAATAAAGTACTGAATGCTTTGTTCAGAACACCCAAATCTATATAGCCCTGAGTAATGCAGAAGGACTGGCTTTCTCTGTTTCTCATTAGTGTTAGTTAAACATAATTTTCAGACAAGGACCCCTTTCTTGTGAATCTCCCAAAGTGCTTTGCATTCTTCAGGTGTTGCAGGAAAAAACAGTAAACTGTTCTCTGATCTAGAAGAGCAGGTTAGTAACCTCAATGTTAGTAGCCGTTGCTGGTACAGCAAATTCAGGATGTCAATCAAGACAATGTCCCCATCTGGAGGTAGGCCAGGCAGTAGCCCATCATTTCCCCTTGGAGATGCTGGCAGCTCCATTTTGGGACTGCTAAAACTAGATTATCTTAGAAACAATAAAAGAAATAATCCTACATGGAGAACAAGATGGACTGCAAGATCTGACAGGTGTCTTAACATTTCATTTCTAGTTCCAGAAACCTTTGCTACAACTCCTGAAAGACTGCTGGGAGTGTGTATTTAACTAGCATATCTCTGTAAAGAGCTCCTGTTTGTGCTTCACTTTAATCTGATGATGGATGAGAGCAATGGAGGGGACAAGCAGGCAGGCAAAAGTGGAAAGGCTGAAAGTGCAAGTGTGGGCAGAAGCCTGCCTGTTGAGCAGGAGCCCTGAGCGCTGCCCGAGAAAACCTGGAAAGCCGTGCAACACAGCTCCCTCCTGGATCGGGCAAGCTTTGGCTATGGCTGTGGGCAACATGTGCTTGATTATGGTTGTGTTCCTGTTCCCTCAGGGTGGCCGAGAATTTGCCGACAAGCCAATGTCCTCCTCCTGAAGCAGCTGCTCTCCCTCCTTCAGACAGGATGCGCACCAGCAACCTGGCCATCTGTGTTGGGCCAACGCGAACATGCTCCCGCTGGAGGCCATGATGCAGGTGACTGAGAAGGTACGCTGGACTGAGCAGCTGCCTGCACCCTTCCCAGCCCATCAACCCTTGACTATTTAGAGGTCCCGGGCTGCCTCCTCTCTTGAGCCAGAGATGGCGGGGTGGCTGCCTGGAAGAGCCGCCCCACAGCCACAGACAACGTGCTGGTGGAGTTTATGAGTGAACACTGCTGCGCAATCTTTGGGGAAGAGGTGGCTGGCCTTCCCTGTCCCTCAGCTGAGGAGTCGCCAGCGACCATGGACAGATGCACAGGTATGAGGAGGGAGTGAGGGTTGTCACAGCCTGAGCGTGAGCGGAAAGCTGGTGTAGGGCTTTGGGTGGGTTTTGCTTCAGCTGTTGTCCACTTCCAACAAGTCCCTTTGTTGGACGTGCTTTTGCTTTCCAGAGCTGCCTGTGGAAGAGGAACGATGCCCTGCTGGTGATGCTGACGTGGAGCACCAGGCAAAAGCCTGCCTGGAGGCACCACCCTCTCTCCTTGTCATCCAGAAAGGAGCAGGGGCAGATATGGAGGCAGGATCGGAAACAGTCGAGGTATGGCAGGTCCACAAACACTGGGACCAAGTGTGCTGCTCCAGCAACAGCAGTATTCCTGCCTCAGTTCACCACACATTTCATTTCCATCTGGCTCTCAGCAGGATAGGAATGTCTTTTCAGTGCTGGAGCTTCCTCCCCTCCTTCCTTGGAAATGGCAAATTTTCATCCTGTTGGACCTGCCTGAATTCCAATACCTTGGGGATTAAAAGCTGGCACAGCATGTGTGCCGGAGACATTCTCCCAGCTTGGCTGGGGTCCACCAACAGGAGTCCATCTTTAGCTGCGATGGTCATTTCCAGGGAAAACAGGTTCTTTTGTTGACTGGGATCCTAGAGGGAGAAGAGAAGATCAGGGATGCAGAAACAGCACTTGCCACAAGTCCAGTGGAGCAGGTTGCTCCTGAAAACCACCAATCCAGCAAACAGACAGCTTTTAGCAACTGTGGCTATTCTGGAATAGATGGTGCCATGTGCATCCATGTCCATTAGCAACTCTTCTCCTACAGCTGAAAAGGAGTTTGAGATCTTGGTGCATAAGGAACTGGCTGGATGGTCGTACTCAAAGAGTTGCAGTCGACGGCTCAATGTCTAAATGGAAACCAGTGAGGAGTGGCATTCCTCAGGGGTCAGTTCTGGGACCAGTGCTGTGTAACATCTTCATCGGTGACATGGACAGTGGGATTGAGGACACCCTCAGCAAGTTTGCCGACGACAAACAAGCTGTGTGGCACGGCCAACACGCTGGAGGGGAGGGATGCCATCCAGAGAGACCTTGCCAGGCTGGAGAGGTAGGCCCATCACAAGCTCATGCAGTTCAGCCAGGCCAAGTGCAAGGTCCTGCACCTGTACCCTGCTTTGAGGTACAACAGAACTGATTTTCTGTTCAGTAATTTTACTTTTTACCTAAGCATCTTCTAACTAATGAACTCCCTGAAATTAAAGGTGTATTTTTTAGACTGTAGTCCACTTCCAGAATTATAAGAACTGATTACTTATAATTTGTGTCTAGGCATGAGATGCAGCGAGGCTCTTGCTTAGACTTAGTGCTATAACAACCAAGGTCAGCTAAATTTGTGATGTGCCCCCTTGGAGGGTCGGAGGTGTAAAAGCGTAGAGGGGTCGAACCTGCGGGGAGGAGCAGGCAGGACAGGTGACCCAAAGCTGACCAACAGGGGATTCCATTCCTTCTGCCTCATGCGCAGTGGAATAATTTCATTATTTCCTTTTTATTTTATTATTAATATTTCATTAAAGTAGTTTCGTTCCTTTGAAACATAAGTCTGTTTCACTCTTTCATTCCTCTCTTTGGAGAGAGGTAGGGGAGAGCATCCGTCGTTCCACCTGAGTGCCAAATCCGGCCCAAACCACAACAACAATAGCCTCAGCCTTTTCTAAAACTTCTGCTGAACACACTTGTGGGTCAGTCTGAAATCGAGTGTAACAACATAGCAGCAATAAGACATGCAGTGCAGCAAGACTTGATTAGGAGAACAGAAACGAAAATAGCAACAATGTCGTTATAACCTGCAAGAAACATTGTGTGCCCCAAATCCTCTCATTTTGCACATTACCATTTCACCTCTTCCTGCGTACGCTGCCCCACTTCCCATCATGGGCAAGGAGGACACAGCTTCAGGTGGCCAATGCTCTTCCCATCTTGGCATATAAGGCACAGCACAATAACTATGTCTGGCTTTCCCCTGGCCCCAGTAAAACCCCTGCCCCAACCAGTGCCTGCGACATGAATCAAGGAAGACGTTGGTGGTGTTTTAATGTGCAGGCTTAGTTTCATCTGGAAAAAACAGTGCTCTCACCACTGCGCATCCACATGGGGGGATGTGACTTGGGATCTTTCAAGTTGTTTGTGGTTGAGACGCTGAGGGAGTATTTGTCTCGGGGATCTCAGAGTTCCTGCCACAGTGACGATGCCAGTAGGCGCAGTAGTAGGTAGCAGTGTCATCCGGAATGACGTTACTTATTGTAAGAATACACAGTTTCTGGCTAGAATCTTTTTCAATCCTGTACCTGTGCTCTTGGAAGCCCTCATCTACTGCTTTTGTCCATGCTAAGTAGAGAATTCTCTGTGGACCATTATTCGCCTTCTGTTGATACCAGTGTATGAAGGTGCCATCAAAATCTCCAGAGACATCTTTAAAATGACATTGCAGGCGGACACTGCCTTTAGACTTGGTGATGGACAGAGGGCTCTGCATGGGAATTTCTTGTGCAAATCCATCTAGAAAAAATAACAGAGGAGAAATGATGCCATCAGGTGGAATTCAGGGCTTTGTGAAGATGCCTGTTAGCAGAGCCCTGTGTGCCTGTGAGGAAAGGTAAGGAAGTAAGGAAGGACTTACAAGACCAAGCGGCGGTGGCCACAAGCGCTGCCAGCAGCAGCATGTTTGCTGTCACGCTCCGCTGTCTTTGAGAGTCAGAGGAGTGTGAAAGGGACCGGAGATGGGGACAGTGTTGTGTGGGAGGAGCAGGTGACTCTGTTGAGAAGTCTTCAGGAACAGATCTTCCCTGAGCTCCTGAGGGGAGCAGTGGGGACAGAGGAGTAAGTGAAGGGGAGGGGAGGGGAGGGGGAGACTCCTCCCTGCATGGAACTTTCCGCTGTGTTCTGTGGATGGCTGTTGTGAAGTTTGGGAAGTACTGGTCCCCTTTGAGACATCCGGAGTGTGCTAGAAGTTGTGAAACCACTGGAGATGGGTCTCTTAATGGTCCACATCAATTTTACTATCACAAAATGGGCATAGTGATGCCATATGGTCCGACGAGATGGGGTGTGGTTCAGAAAGATTTCTGACACCGTGACAGGACTACGAGGGAAGGGTCCCTGAGAAAAACATCAACGCTGACTGCAGCACTGCAAGTACAGTGGTGATGGATGCTGGTAGCCACTGCAGACGGAAGGCAGAAAACAACAAAATATAAGGAGGATTCACTGAACTAAGAGGAGACTCCTTGGAAAACTGCCGTGAGACCCTATAAATAAAGACAGCATGTGAGAGTACCAATTCCTGGCTGAGAGCTGTGCATCCCACCACTGACTAGCCCTGAAGGTACCAACGGGATTCAGTGAAATCGGTGAGCGCTTGGGTGCTTAACTTCGCTTTGTGTTTAAGCCTTTCTGGTGTTCAGTGTTTATTTGCACCTAGTCTGATCTTCTTTCTAAAGTCCCATAGCTCATTCAGGGTGATGGTCCAGCATTCCAGGTATCCAATTAAACCCTTCATCAGGAAAAGAAATGCTGAGGAGTAGGCACATAGCTAAAGGCTAAAGGCACAAGCTGAAGTCATTCCCCTCAGGCTCTTCTTTGAAATGCTTGCTGTGCACAGGGCCTTAACTCACTGCAAATTTGAAAAAAGGCCATCAGAATCGAGAGTTTCAACACATCTCCTACCTTCCAGAAAAACCCTGTTTATCCAATTTGCCTTAACAGGAAATGAAAGAAGAGGGTGGTTATAAGCAGCACATCATCAGCTGTGGTAGGTAAGAGACTGTAAACCTTGATTTAAATTGCTCCGTGTGGGATTTTGTGGTATCCAAATTAGGTCAACCATATTTCCAGGGACTTACAGCAGCTCACACGGAGGGCAACGAAGACTATAGTGGGGACCATGGAAAGCTTTTTCTTAGAAGTGCTAGGCGGTGGCAAGCATACCGTTCCCACCACCAAGGTACCTCCTTCAGCGTGTTGTCGCTCTTTTACTGCCTTCTCTTTGCTAGGGGAGAGCAGTGGCTGGACTAGAAATTCAATGCAATGTTTGCTCCCCTCAAAGGCCAGCAGACTTCTGCCACGGCTATGCAAACAGCACCAAAGCAGCAGGTGGGTTTCCAGTGTTTATGTGCTAATTCTTAAGGCAGTGAAGACTTCCTTTGTCCTTAAAAGAGTAGATGTGTGTTTGAAGACTGGAGTGATAATGACCACGCAGACTTTGAAAAGGAGAGTTATGCAGGGTTCGCTGCTCTTTTTGGGTAGCAGGAAAAGGTTTGGCCTTTCTGCAGCTGATACCAGATGGAGCGAGAAGATCAGGGGAGTTGCACAGTTACAACCCTGTGGTTCAGACGTTGAGGGATGGGTTTTTTGCCTTGATGATCTTTGAGTTTCTATCACAGTGAGGGTCCCAGTAGGCGCAGTAGTAAGTAGCAGCGTCGTCTGGAATTACATCGTTTATTGTAAGAACGCACCGTTTCTGGCTAGAAACTTTTTCAACCATGTACCTGTGCGCTTGAAAGCCACTTTCAACTGAAGCTTTCCCTCCTGAAAAGAACAGGAGCCTCTCTGGAGCATTACCCTCCTTTTGTTGATACCAGTGTATGGGGGTGCCATCAAATTTATCCCCTAATGATTGAAGTTCACATGTCATCCGTGCACTTTTTTGGAACTTGGTGATGGATATAGGGCTCTGCACGGGAATTTCTTGTGCAAATCCGTCTAGAAAAAACAAACAAACAAAAAAAACAACAGAGGAGAAATGATGCCATTATGTGGAATTCAGGGCTTTGGGAAGACGCCTGTTAGCAGAGCCCTGGGTGCCTGTGAGGAAAGGTAAGAATATAAGGAAGGACTTACAAGAC